GTGTGTGTGTGTGTGTGTATGTTGTGTGGTATGTACGCGTGTATGTGTCGATATATTGTGGCCTCCTCGAAAATGGTTCGTGCATTTTCGCATGGCCGTTTTATTTTCGCCTTTTAAAGATTTATATAACAAGGCCTAAATTCAGTTACTTATTTAACACGCGTATATCTTTCACTGTTCAAACACAAAAGTTGACTTTTTGACTGTCATGAAAGAATAAAGATAATTTTTTATCGCTAAAAAATTCACTTGAAAGTCTACAGTTTACGATCGATCACGATGAAAGATAATATCATTGTAATCGTCATTTAAACATGATATTTAATTGAAGAATTTATCATTACTCGGAATTTTTGAAAGGTGAATGCGTGTCACAGATTGTCATTGTGCAATTTCATCTTGTTCATTTCGAATGACTTTACTATCTCAATAGGGTGGGCGAATGTGTGAGGAATAAAAATAACATATAAAAGAGAAAAAGAATAAAAAATAAAAATAAAAAAGGAAAAGAATAAAAGAAAGTAAAAGAAAAAACAAATTGTAAAATTGATGTGTGCCACTTATTTATTGTTTTGTCTTTTCTCTGTACGTGTTTCCTCTGGCACAAGTTGTATACAATAAAGGTTGAATCGATGAGAAAAGACTTTTATAATTCATTTCTAGCGTGGGCGAAGCTTACATTAGACGCGACTGGAAAGATAACAGAAAACGATACCGTTCATGTCACCAAGATATCACGTTGATTCAAATGGTGTTAAGGTCGAATGCGTTTTTTTAATTGAGGAAGAAAACTTGTGTCCAAGTGCCGAAAGTGTTTTTCGCGATATAGATAAAAGTGTGCCTGTTAACAACGTTTTGTTAGTTTATCGTACTCATTTTCATGACAAAACTTCCACAATATATGACTAACATGATAGACATTTGGTTATAAACTCTAACACCAGTTATATCTCAAATACGTAAGTCATAATAATTATCAACGTAGCTTATATATTTAGTAGAATAAAAAAACTCAACTAGATGAAATAAAATGAAATATGTATACAACTTTAATCGAAATACTATATATTAACTTCATTATTATTTGTACCATTGGTAGAATTAATGATAAACAAATGATAGTATTTCAATATTTCGTTATTGTTTTACTAAATAACTTTGTTAGTATATTGTTGATATATTAATATGTCATTCGGAAGAAAGAACATTTCAAGTAAAAATTAGAGATAACGTTATATCTGAGCGAGATAACGATTTAAAGTATGTAGTATATATGTGCAATAATATATATCCATGTGGGGATTATCTTATAATCTTAAAATCTTATGTTAAGAATAAAGTATCAAGTTAAAATCAAACGTTAAACCGGTGGGGAACGTTGAAATACTCATTTAATATATGTTTCTTGACACTAACAAAAAATAGCAATATTATTAGCTTACTATTAATATCATTAGCTTCTCATTCTCCTGCGGTTGATTACTTGATATTCCTTATCATTCGTCACAAACGGAAAGCAATCGGGCTCTTGTTTCGTGATAGAGCCCAAAGCAATCAGTTAACTATCCCGACGAAAAACTTGAGCAAGTGCACTTGCACGGCAGCGCGCACATCTACACATAGGCATAAATATATAGTAAAATGTAAAACACTCATGTGTATATATGATTACAGACTTTTGTCACATTTATTGTTTCTACATATTTATATTTGAAAAAACAACGTATATATGTGTACGTAATAAGTTTTACTTATAAATAAATACATAGTGAGTCAACTTTCATTACCGTCTACAGAATGAATTTATATATACTGATTTAAATAAAAAATAAAAATAAACGCGATCCATAATTTATTTAATAGTTCTATAAAAATTCAACATTACTCATGCATGTTTGTAATTTCGTATGAAAATTTACAAAAACCGATGAGAAATAGAAAATTATTTTATTTTTGCAGTAATTATTGACTCACTTTGTAAAAAATCGCACACGCAACTGTAAAAAAAGAAAGAGAAATAAACACGTGTGTAGTAGTAGAATATGTATAACGTGGCCCAGAAGATGCGCACTCGTCGCGCGCTCTTCTACAAAGCGCGCGTACCTTCTGTTATTGTTGACCACCAATCTGATGATAAGAGTTTCAGTATCGTGACAATGTTCGGCTTGTAAATGCACCATCGTTTAATCGCACCGTATCGCTTTTATTGTTAATCGTTGATTATACCCTCCTTTTACATTACTAAACTTCCACGAAACAATTTGCATCTATGTATATACGTTTTCAGTGTTATTTCATGCTAAACGAACGCTAACGAATATACTTTGATGCAAACAAGTTCTAATTTTATCAATTTCATTAAAAAATGTATATATA